AGCAAGTGCGAAGCCCTGAGTTCAAATCCCAGTCCCACCAAAAGTCACTGATTAAAAGCGGGCGTGGTGAGTTGTAGTCCACACTGCGTCTGGAGATGGGGTCACTGCTGCTGGGCGCGCGGCGTGCGGAGTCAAGATCCGACTCGTCCCCGCGCGGGGACGGAGTGGCTGGGACTTCGTCTGCGAACTGGCTTCAGGACGTCAGTGTTTTTCTTCCCAGGAGCAGGTCTTAGAAATTCAGTGTTACCCTTTACACGCAGCCGTCAGAAACACCGCCTCCTCTCTCTCTGTGGTTCTGTGGACTACGAAACAAATGGCTACTAACAACTTCTCGCCGGGACATACCTGTCATCCTAGCTATTGGGGAGGCTGAGATTGGGAGGATCGCAGTTCGAGGCCAGCCCAGACAAAAAGTTCTTGAGACCCGCCCCCATCTCCAAAATAAACAGAGCAAAATATGGACTGGAGGTGTGGCTCAAGAAACAGAGTGCCTGCTTTATAAATGGCACAAAAAAAAAAAAGAATTTCTTAGGCACTCAGTACTGTGCTACCATGCAAGAAATTCTAAAAGGTCCACAATATATGGTCTCTATATTTTTGGCTTACATCTACTAGTGAAGACCAGCACCTTAATTATTAAAACAATGTGTAGTCAGGTGGTACATGCCTATAATCCCAGCTACTAGGGAGGCAGAGATCAGGAGGATCTTAGTTCAAGGTCAGCCCATGCAAAAATTAGTGAGACCCCCATCCCGACTATCAAACTGGGCATTGTGGCTCCCACCTGTGATCCCAGCTACCCAGGAGGCAGACATAGGAGGATCTCAGGTGAAGGCCAGCCCTGGGCAAAAATAAAGCCCCCTCTGAGAAACAATTTAAAAGCTGTGTGTGTGTGCATGTGTGTGTGACAGGAAGGCCAAACGAAAGTGTTCCCCTTCTTTGTGAACTCCAGTGTGCTTTATTTCTGTCACATATCACGGATGGCTTCTTAAAAGATTCAGGAAGTAGCTGTGATTTTTTTTTGGGTGGGACTGGGGTTTGAGCTCAGGGCCTCTAGAGCCTCACCTCCAACCCAGTAGCACTGATTAACTCAGGAACACCACCAGGTTCAATGCCATGCACCTGGGCTGTGGCTTCTGTAACCTTATTTCTCAAAATGGAACCCAAACTGCTTCTTTCAATCCTTTTTTTTTTTTTGGTGGCACTGGGATTTGAACTCAGGGCCTTGTGCTTGCTAGGCAGATGCTCTACCCCTTGAGCCACTCCGCCAGCCAAACCCTGCTTCTTCAAAGGCTGGAGCCACTCTATCTAGAAGCCATGCTCGCTCCTGCCGTAAGTTTTCACCCTTAGTTGTCACTAATCATTTTAGACGTCACAATCTGCTCAGAGCACAGTGTCTAGGACAGCTTCATTCCGCACTGGACCAGCGCGCCATGACTGTCTTCAGTAAGGGACAGTTCCCAGGAGGAGAAAGGAAAGAGTTTTGTTTTCATGAAGGCAGCTAGAGATGCAAGAGGAAGGATGGAACTGGTTATGGACACCAGTTGGAGTCTCAGCTCATCAACTCGTGGACAAAAATGTCAATAACTTAGCCAGGCACCGTGACTTATGCCTGTAATCCCAGCTACTCAAGAGGCAGAGATCAGGAGGATCAAGGTTGAAGGCCAGCACAGGAAAATAGTTTGTGAGACCCTATCTCGAAAATACCCTTCACAAAAAAGGGCAGGTGGTGTGGCTCAAGTGGTAGAGCACCTGCCTAGCAAGCGCCAGGCCCTGAGTTCAAATCCCGGTGCCGCTAAAAAGAAAAAAAAAATTTATGCACATAGGAATAAAATAAAAATTAAAAAAAAATTGAAAAGCACTTTGAAGGTTTTGTAAGCAATCCCATTCCTCAATGACCCGTAAATCAGGGGTGTGGAATATTTTCCCAGTTATGACTAAGCAGCTTGGATAAGGACCCGCCTTTGCAATCCGGGGAACTCCCAAGTCATTTATCAGACTTTCATTGTTTGAGTCCCAGCGTGGTGGCCACACCTGCGATCCCAGCTACGGGGGAGGCCGTTGGTAGGAGGACTAGACTCTGAGGCCAGCCCCAGTCACAAACCCAAGACCCTATCTGACAAAAAACAAGCAAGAAAGGGCTGGGGGGCATGACTCACATGGTAGGGCACCTGCCAAGCAAGCACAAGGTCCTGAGTTCGAATCCCAGTGCCACCAAAAAGAAAAAACCGTCTCTGTGCATGGCTGGGTTTGGAGTGCGGGTTGAGAGTCCATGTGTATGCGCAGCAGGACATCACCTAAGTCTCTGTTTTTCAGGGACTGGGGTTCGAACTCAGGGCCTCATGCTTGCCTGGCAGGCTCTCCACCACTTGCGTCACAGCCCCCATCCTATCTAGTGAATTTGAGGTTTTAAATTTTTCCCATTACCAAAAAAAAAAAAAGACCAATGATAAAATTAAGACACACCTCACTTCTATCAGAATTCCTAGCCAGAAGTCAGTGTGTGAAGACTACTCTAGAATCTTCTATGTTCTTTGTCACACATATGACTGTTATAACTAGTTACACCCCCCCATATAATTCCTTGTTTTAGTGGTGGTGGGGAGACAGGTTCTCCCTGTGTAGCCCAAGCCGGCCTGGAATTTACAATCCTCCAGCCTCAATCTCCCCAGTGCCAGGATTACAGGCGAGTGCCACCAAGCCTGGCTTTCAGTGTCCCTCCCTCCCTCCCTTCTCTCTTTTTTTTTTTTTGGCGGTACTGGGGTTTGAACTCAGGGCTTCACTTTGCACACTTGGGCCACGCCTCCAGTCCATTTTGCTGTGGTTATTTTGGAGATGGGGTCTCAAACTATTTGCCTGGGTTGGTCTCAAACTGCAATCCTCCCAATCTTCGCCTCCCAGGTAGCTTGGATTATAGGGGTGAGCCACTGGTGCCAGGATGCACACTGCTGTTTCTTGGTTCGCCCATTTGAGATGTCTCTGTGGGATCAGTGACGCTCCTCTCCGCCTCCTTCTGGACCTTAGGTTTGGCTCCTGTATTTGAGCTTCGAAGCCTTGCCGGAAGCACGGCTCCTCTTCTGTCAATGTGTCACTGTGCTCCTCGCTCAGACGGACCCTGTTCCACGTCTCCCTGCCACCTTCACTCTTAGCAGCTTGAACCGGGCACCTCAAGGACAAGGAAGGACAGAGAGCATTAACGTTGTGTGTGGAGCCAGGACAAGCTCACTCACAGGCCGAGCCGAGCACAGGGCGCCTGCCAGAAAGTGACCGCGCCCTCTGTGCGCCCCGTGCAACCTTGTCAGACGAGATGGTGTCACAAACTCCAACCACAAGTGCTCTGTGCTGCAGCTTCAGTAAAGCAGGGTTCAGAGAGAGAGGGAGGGGGGGAAGGAGAGACACGAAGGAAGAAACAGGAGAGAGAGGAGGAGGGAGGGAGGGACACAGAGATGGAGAGAGAGGGAGAGGCTGACCTTAAGTTGAGCCAAGGTTAGAGCACATGGACAGAGGGACTCAGCTTAACACGGTTTCCAACTTATTTTTAACTTAAAAAATTTGACTCATGGCCAGGCATGGTAGCTCACACCTGTAATCCCAGCTACTCAGGAGGCAGAGATCAGGAGGATCGAGGTTCGAAGTCAGCCTGGGTAAATAGTTCACAAGACCCTATCTTGAAAAAAAAAAAAAACACTAAAAAGGGCTGGTGGAGTGGCTCAAGGTGTAGGCCCTGAGTTCAAACCCCAGTGCCACATAAAAAGATAAATAAAATAAAAGAGAGCAAGTACTAAGAGTAGAAAGGTGCTGGTCTCAGCACAGGCAACATGGAGAGAACTTGGAAAAGGCAGGTGCTGCCCTCCAGCTTTCATAGAGCTACAGATTTTTTTGTGGGGGGGAGGGGATGGTGGCGGTACTAGGATTTGAACTCAGGTCCTCACGCATGCTAGGCAGGTGCTCTACCACTTGAGCCACGCCCTTTTGCTCTATTTTGGAGATGGGGTCTCCTGGTTTTGCTCAGAATGGCTTGGACTGCTATCCTATTTACGCTTCCCTTTGCGGTTGGAATGGCAGCGAGTGCCATTGGCTGAGATGGGGTCTCGACAACTTTTTCGCCTAGAGGTGGCCTCAAACCATGGCCCTGTCCGTCTCTGTCTCCTGAGTAGCCGGGATTACAGGCATGAGCACTGGCACCCGGCCTGCAAACACTGAGACAAATTCCACACTGGTGATCACCTTTCTGGCACTGAGACCAATACCTGAGGCACTCACCTTGAAAGGAAAGGTGCGTTTTGCCTCGTGGTCTCAGGTTTCCGTCCATGGTCACTTGGCCCTGTTGCCTTTGGGCCTGTGGTGAGGCAGCACATGGCTGTGGGAGCACCCGGCAGAGGGGACCTGCTCGTCTTGGGGCAGCCAGGAACAAACAGCAAAAGGGGCTGGGGTCCCGCTAACCCCTTCAAGGGCCCGTGCCCACCGGCCTAACTTCCTTCCACTAGAGCTCGCCTGCACCCCTCCACAGCAGCATGGCCGACCGTCCTTAGCGCCTGTGCCTCTGGGGAGCATTGAGCGTCCAAAGCATAGGACAGGTGCAGTGGGTGACACCTGAAGTCCCAGCTACTCGGGAGGCTGGTCAGGAGGACTGAGGCTCAGGACAGCCTGGGCAAAACATTCACAGACCCCCCATCTCACCCCACAGCCGGGCACAGCGCTGCACACCTGCCATCCCAGCCGTGTGGGGAGAAGAATCCCAGTCCACAGTCGTAACCCGAGACTCTACCTCAAAAATAACCCGAGGAAAAAGAGCTGGCCGCGTGGCTCAAGCGGAAAAGCACCCGCCTCGCACGCGGCAGACCCCGAGTTCAAACCCCAGTGCCACCAAACAGAAGATCCAAGCCATAAGCTGCGAACACTGAGCATTTTATTAAACGTTAATTAAAAGTCTGCCCGGGTGACATGGAGCCCCAGGCGCGTGGCGTCACAGCCGCCTTCCCGGCCGGGGAGCCTCGCACCTCGGCGGGTTCTCGGTGAAGATCCTGACGCAGCTGCACTCCGGGGACCAGAGCGAGAAACTGATGGCCTCCTCTTCTTCCTTCAGGGAAGGAGACACAGTGACAGCGCCGGGCTCCTCACACCTCCTCACGCACGCACATCGGGCTCCTCCAAATCCCCGGGGCGCCGCAATTGGTTCTAAGTGCCCTTGAGCCCTTGGAGAAGAGGGCGTGGGAACACTGCACGGTGACCCCGATTCCAGTCGTGTAGGCGGGAAAACGAACATGACAAAAATCTACCGTCTAAAATGCTTTTCAGCAGAGTTGAGTGGTGTTAAGATCATTCATGAGCCAGGTGCAGTGGCTCACGCCTGTAATCCCAGCTACTCAGGAGGCAGAGATCAGGAGGATCACGGTTCGAAGCCAGCCTGGGCAAATAGTTTGTGAGACCCTATCCCCTATCTTGAAATTAAACCATCACAAAAAAAAAAAAAAGGGCTGGTGAAGTGACTCAAGGTGTAGACCCCGAGTTCAAACCCCAGTGCTGCACATACAAAAAGGCTAAAGTGATAATGTACACTTTGCATATATTTCACCACACAAAAAACTCTTTAGAAACATCTCGCGCTATCTCATCGTTGTTCTCCACTCTGCACAAAATGGAGAAGTCTTTTGTCCAATTCACCCACAGACACTGAGCTCTAGAAGGAGACAATGCAAAATTTTTTTTTTTTTTTTGTGGTGCTGGGGTTTGAACTTAGGGCTTTCACCTTGAGACACTGCACCAGCCCTTGTCTGTCATGGGTTTTTTTGAGATAGGGTCTCTTGAACACTTTGCCTGGGCTGGCTTCGAACCTCGATCCTCCTGATCGCTACCTCCTGAGTGGCTGGGATTACAGGCGTGAGCCACCGGTTCCCGGCCAAAATTGGTTTTCTCGAGCTGGTCCTGCCTTCGCTGTTGCATTCTTGGGTAGAAAGTCGCAGTCACACCTCCCTCGTCCCCCCCAAAAGGAGGTGAGTAAAGAACAGCTTTAATCCAGCTACCTGGAAGGCTGAGATTGGGAGGATTGAGGTTAGAGGCCAATCCAGGTAAATAGTTCCTGAGACCCCATCTCCAAGATCACCAGAGCACAACGGACTGGCGGTGAGGCTCGAGTGGTAGAGCCCCTGCTTAGCAAGTGCAAAGCCCTGAGTTCAAACCCCAGTCCCACCAAAAAAAGAAAGAACAGTTTAAGCCAGAGACAGGAACAAGCTCCCAGGTGATAAGACCCGTTTGCCAGCACCAAAGGCTACCCACAGGGCAGGACAGAAGGCCGCCTGCCTGGTCATCCGCCCCATGATGGTGGCCTGCAGCCCACGCAGGGCGGTCCCCTGCACCTGTCTCCACGTGACGGTCACGGTCACGCACCTCACTGAAGTGCTTCTCGATGATGCTCAGGGCGGACCGGCTGATCTGACGGTTCTCGTGGAGCTGCAACGCCTCGATCCTGTCCACGCCGCCCAGCTCCTCCAACAGGAGGCACAGGCTGGCCTTCTCTCGAACCTTCTCTGCAGCCTGCGGGGACAGGCCATCGTGAGGCCCTGGGCGTGCCCTGGGGACGGGGAGGTGGCCCTGCCGGTCCCAGGGACGCTTCTTTGGAGCAGTCACACCAAAGGCTCCTGTTCTGGCCGAGCACTCAGCGTCGCCTTCTCCCCAGAGAGAGGAAATGGCACAAGCTTCCTCCCATCCTGGATATTTATGAGACATCCACACAGTGGATAATCAGCCAGGGGCCAGGGGCTCACGCCTGTAATCCCAGCTACTCAGGGGGCAAGAGATCAGGAGGGTCACAGTTCAAAGCCAGCCTGGGGAAATAGCTCGTGAGACCCTATCTCAAAATAAAAACCATCACAAAAAGGGGCTGGTGGAGTGGCTTGAGGTGAAAGCCCTGAGTTCAAGACCCAGTATCCCAAAAATTCCTGTATAAATTCTATAAATATATGTTTATATAAACAAACATTTATATGTGAAGTATATCAGCACGTGTTTATTTTAGTGTTTATTTTCATTGTACAAAATGCACTTTGTAAGGCATTTTCTGTTGGCGGTGCTGGGTTTTGAACTCACGCCTTGCGCTGGCTCTAACACTCAAGCCGCACACACAGCCCTCCAGTTTGTTTTTCAGATCGGGTCTCACACTTTTGCCCAGGCTGGACTTAAATGGCGATCCTCTCATCTCTGCCTCCCATTTAGCTGGGATTACAGGTGTAAACTGCCACCTCCAGCCCCAGGATGGTGTCTTTTTTAAAAAAAATTAATATCCATAAATAAATCTCAATCACTAGCAGTAGACAGGTTTTTCTGATTAGCAGTTTTAAATACAGTTTCGAAGGGTGTCCGAGCAATGCTTTGTAAGTGAGGTGCTAGTCCTGAGGCCCAGGAGGAGTCTTACGAGCCGTCTGCAGACCCCGAGTCCCAGAGCCACGGTGTGACAGAGAACGCAGTCCGTGGGGACGAGTGCCATGAGCGATTAGACCGCTCCACTCAGTGCTCAAAGACTCAAACGTCCGTGCGCGGCAAGGGGCACAGTCGTGACTATTTGGGACAAAGGTTTCCAAGGTGGAGGAGCTGCGGCCCAGTACGAGCAAGGCCCCAGGCTCCATCCCAGCACTGCCAGAACAAACCCAGAACAGCGGGGAGCTGTACAGGACGCAGGGAGGTGTGGGGGGCGTCACGAGCCCTTAAGCAACGGTGCTTTGTCAGAGCAGGAGGACAGCATTTCCGAAAGAAGGGACAGTGGGACAAAGGTTTGAAGGAATAAGTGACGCATCTTATGAGTAAGGACAGCCAACCCACAGATTGGGGGAACGTGGAGAAAGATAAAGTACTTTGGGGTCAGGCGTGGCAGTGCACACCTGTAATCCCAGCACTGGGGAGGCTGAGGCAGGAGAATCACGAGTTCGAAGCCAGCCTGGCGTGACTTTGAAGCAGTTCAGATGGCCAGCCCCTTATAAAAGGATCTTAACCAAACAAATGTCGCCAGCCTCCAGAAAGATCCCAGAGTGTCCCCAACTCAGGGCACCCGTGTCCTCTTGTGGGACCAGCTGAGCTGTGTAGCCAACAGGACACTTGAAGTGACCCCCAATGTCACAAAAGACACTGTGGCTTTCACCTTGCTTCCTTTTGAGACAGGGTCTCACTCTGTAGCCCAGGCTGGCCTCGAACTCACGATCCTCCTGCCTCAGCCTCCCCAGTGCTGGGATGGCAGGTGTGCGCTCCACACCCAGCTCACTTTCGTTTCTTCAGCTGGCTGCCTCCATAGGAAGCCATGATGGGAGGATGCCGGCCTTGAACCCAGCCCTCCCGTCTGCCCTCTGCAGCTGAGATTACAGGCGTGTTTCAGTTTTTTATCACTGACTCTCCTCCTGCTTCAAAGCCTCTGTTGGTTTCTCCTCCTCACTCAGAATAGCTGCTGACCGCACAAACTCTGCACAACCCAGCCCCGGTGACCGCCCCGATCTGATTTGCTTCAGAACTCCCTCCTCGACGTGACATGGCCTCACTCACACACAAACTCCATTAGAACAAGGATTGCAGCCGGGTGTGGTGGTGCACGCCTGTAATCCTGGCACTCGGAGGCTGAGGCAGGAGGATTGATAGTTTAAGACCAATCTGGGCTACACGGCAAGACCCTGCTCAAAAAGAAAAAGTGAACTATTTTTCTCTTTTTTGGTGGTACTGGAGTTTGAACTCAGGGCCTCAAACTTGCTAGGCAGGCGCCCTACCACTTGAGCCACTCCGCCAGTCCCTTTTCATTTTTGGTCATTTTTGACTTAGACTCTTGCTTTTTGCCCAGGCCAGTCTGGGCTGCAGTTCTGTTTTAGGCTTCCCACCAATGCTGCACTACAGGTATGCACCACCATGCCCAGCTTCTTTCTGTCAAGATGGGTTCCTGCAAGCCCATCTTTTTGTTTTGCCTGGGCTGACCGGGAACTGCAGTCCTCCCAATTTCAGCCTCCCATGTAGCTGGGATGACAGGCATGCCCCTAGCTGTTGGTTAAGGTGGGGTCTTGTGAACTATTTGCCCAGGCTGGCCTCAAACCACAATCCTCCCGCTCTCAGCCTCCCACATAGCAGGGAAGTCATTTAAGAAAGTGAAGGCAGGTGTCCTTCGGAGATGCCCGAGTGTGTTGTCCCCAGGGTAAGAAGGTGGCAGGGGGACAGAAGGAGAACCCTATTTGGGATTTCAGGACCGAGCCCAGCGTCTTCCATTGGAGACTGCCATCTACACAGCTGCCCCGTCCAGGGCGTCTCACCTGGAGGACACAGGCCACCACGTCGAGGATGATGACGACAATTCTCACATCGGGGACAGTGAGCAGGTCCATCAGGGGCCCCAAGACCCCAGCGTGGACAAGCTGGAACAACTGCTCCACTGAGGCCCCCGTGGTGAAGTTCGCCACCGTCCACACAGCCTCCTTCTGGACTTTGAATTCCGCCTGCAGAGACAGAGCGCCAACTTTCTCCACAGGTCCCAAAAATCCTAAGTAAAGTGACGCCGATGTCCCTCGCCTTCCAGGCAGGCTGGTGACAGCCACAACTGTCGATTTCTTTGCTTTTGGTGGCACTGGGATTTGAACTCAGGGCTTTGTACTTGCTAGACAGGCGCTCCACCAACTGAGCACGCCCCCAGCCCTTTGTGCTTGTTTGTGTCAGATAGGGTCTCAGATGTTGATCTTCCCACCTCTGCCTTCAAGTAGCTGGGATTACATGAACGCACCACCACACCTGGCCCTTTTTTTTTGAGATAGGGTCTCACTAACCATTTGTTTTTGGCTGGGGACTGGCCTGAAACTGATCCTCCCATCTCTACTTCCTGAGCAGCTGGGATTACAGGTATGATTCACCATGCCTGGCTACATGCAATTGGTGTAAAATGTCCTGGCTACCTGACTCTAGGTCATGACCTTGGGAGACAGTACCTGTGAGAAACCACAAAGAAGGTCAGCAGGTAACTCCAAGGGGGTCTGAGAGGGAAGATCCAAGGTCAAGTGGCCTTGTTTCCCTGTATTGGGCTATGGGAACACAGAGCCCTGGTAAACCAGTCCAGGTAATCCGTACAGACTGGGAGTCACACTTGGACTCTTAGACAGCTGTGTGTGCACATTTCTCATGTCCTACAGCGGGCCAAAGACTGAATCCAGGAGACTGGGCCAGGCCAGAGGAAACCAGGCAGAAATATTGCTCAACCGAGTACAAAGAGCACTTGGTCCAGGGCTTTGGCGTCGTTTCACCTGGTCCTTCCATTCCTGGCCAGAGGACGTGCTCTCATTTTATGGCTGGAGAAAATTGCCCTTGGTGTAAAGCAGAAAAGAATCTACAAATACTAAAGCCGGGCGTGGTGGTGCACGCCTGTAATCCCAGCACACTGGAGGCTGAGGCAGGAGGATCGTGAGTTCCAGGCCAGCCTGGGCTGCAGAGTGAGACCCCATCTCAGGACAGAAAATTAAATCAAAAGAGCATGGATGACTCTGGAGGCGGCAGGAGGCTAGAAGACGCGTGACGGGCTGCACGCCTGCCTAGCCTTTCCCACTGGACACACACCTGGGGACCCCACATCCACCTCACAGCGCCCCCTCCTCATGCTGGCCTCCCCACCCCCACCGGAGGTAACCAGTCCTGACTGCAGTCTAAAAGGTGACAAGAGAAAGCACATGGCGGTCATTGCTCCCGAGTTGGGACTGGAAGCAGAGGAAGAAGGCAGCTTTACTGTAGTTCTACTTTTTTCATCTGAATTTTCCTTTTTTGGGGGTGGTGGTACTGGGATTTGAACTCAGGACCTCACACTTGCTGGGCAGGTAACGCTACCACTCAGGTCACTCCACCAGCCCTTTTTTGTGGTGGGTATTTTTGAGATAAGGTCTCTCAAACTATGTGCCCAGGCTGGCCTTGAGCCATGATCCTCCCAATTTCTGCCTCCCGAGTAGCTGGGATTACAGGCGTGAGCCTCCCTGCCCAGCCTTGAATCTTCCATTTACACATTACTGCTTTAATCAGTGTGGCTCGTGCCCTATTCTCGTCACCGCAGCGTGAGTTCCTCCTCCTCAAGTGAAATAAGTTCGTCCCCGAGGCGGATGGAGGAGCGCTCACCCCGCAGACAACGTCTACATGTCCCTGGGGTTGGAGCTGCGGGGAGGTCACCCTGTCACTGTCTTTCCAGTGTCCTCAGGTCCTCTACCTCTTTCGGAAGGTTCTGTTTGTCACCTGTATCTGAAGTCCCGCAGCAACCCAGGGCCGCGCACGCCGGGCGGACACTTACGCTTTTCAGCAGGGCCACCAGAGCGGGCAGTATGTCACTCGCGATCAGCTGCTGGATGTGGTGAGGGGGCCCAGCTGCCACGTTACTCAGGGCCCATGTGGCCTCCTTCTGGACGGAGGACTTGGGGTGCCTCAGGAGCTGGGGCAGGGCCTGGAGAACGAGGCCAGAAGTCTTAGTCCCGCAGGGCGCATCCCGGCGTCAAGGGCCTTCTGGGTCTGCTGGTCTGTTCCCGTGACGATGTTCCCCACGGTGCGCAGAGCAGGGCTCTGGAGAACGAGGCCAGAAGTCTTAGTCCCGCAGGGCTGTCACAAAAGGTGACCGCCACGTCAACTTCTGCAACCTCCCACACAGCGCTCCTTCCAGTGGGAACGGCCTCTGGACACTCACAACCCACAGTTACAGTCACGATCTTTTTTTGTTTTGTGGTGCTAGGGTTTGAACTCAGGGCCTGCACCTTGAGCCACTCCACCAGCCTTTTTTTGTGATGGCTTTTTTTCGAGATAGGGTCTCGGGAACTATTTACCCAGGCTGGCCTTGAACTGCGATCCTCTGATCTCTGCCTCCTGAGGCGTCTGTAGCTGTTTTTATACAGTTTCAGGCACTCGCTAGCTTTGCAAAAGTTCTGACTGCAGTGGATGGAGGGTTAGGGACATCTCTAGCAAGAGATGCATGCCAGGCATGATAGCACATGCCTGTAATCCCAGCTACACAGGAGCCATAAATAGGAGGATCGTGGTCCAGGATAGCCAGGGCAAAAGCAGGAGCCCCTGTCTGAAAAATAAACTAAATCAAGAAGTGCTGGTGGAGTGGCTGAAGGGGTAGAACACCTGCCTAGCAACCACGAGGTGCTGAGTTCAAACCCCAGTGCTGCAAAAAGGAAAAAAGCCTCTGTCCTCACGCTTTCAACTGGGCAAGTGCGGAACCAAATACAATGTCCATCAGTGTCTGCGCGGGCAGTGGTGTCTGCTGCATATTTATTGGGAACGAGAACCCGGTGGAATTTGTCTGCATATTCACGAGCCACCTCACAACAGCTCTGAATGAAGGCAAAGAACAACGCAGGAGCACAGGCTGTGGGGTGATCTGAATCCAGCCACAGTACCAGAGTGTTCCTAGCCTATCAGGCTCCATGTCTGCCACCCAAGTGACAGGTGGAAACAGCTATTCGCCAGTCACAGCCTTGTCGGGACACCCCCAACTGGACCCGGAACTTCTACAGGAGGTTGCTTCTAAAAGCTGGGCATGGTGGTTCACGCCTATAATCCCAGCTACTTGGGAGGCAGCAATAAGACGACTACAGTTTGAAGTCGGCCTAGGCAGATATTAGTGAGACCCTATCTGAAAAACAAGCTGGGTGTGGTGGCATGGCGCTGTAATCTCAGCTTCTCAGGAGGCAGAGACAGAAGAATTGAGACTGAGGCCAGCCCCGGGTAAAAATTTGAGACCTTATCTGAAAAACAAACTAACAGCAAAAGAACTGGGGCAGTGGCTCAAGCGGCAGAGCTGCTGCTTTGCAAGTGGAAAGCCCCGAGTTCAAACCCCAGTCCCACCAAAACACAGTTCAAATGCTACCACGGACTTTGAACACACACAGACACACAGACATCGGACGAGCCAACAGAAGTTCACGTGCACAGACCACAGGGGAATGCAGGTGAGGACAGTTCCCCGGGTGGCAGAATTACAGCGATTTCCCTTGGTGACTTTCCTTCCAGTCATCAGATTAAGACAAACCAAGTTCACGGAGACCCACTAGGACTCGCTGGAAATCGGATCAAGTCTTTGGGGGACACAGAGCAGAGGAACGCAGGTGACAAACTGTGCTGCAGGGAAAGGCTTAGAGGTGACAGACCTAGGGCGGTGGGAGAAACCCAGCCCAGGGTGTGGAGTCTGAAGTCCCTCGCAGACACAGACGGGGCCTCGGTGACACTCACCAGGACACTGAGTTCTGAGCCGGCCATGAGCTCCACCAGCCTGGGCAGGACCCCCGTGTCCACCACCTGGCCGATGCGCTCATTGTGGCCGTCGGTGAGGTAGGACAGGGCCCAGCAGGTGTCCGAGAGGACCTCGCTGTCGTGGTGGCACAGGAGGTGGGTGAGCGCCGGCAGCACCTGCCTCACGGCTGCCTGGCTGGGGTACGGGTTCTTGTTCCGGCACAGGTTGGACAGGGTCCACGTGACGTTTCGTAGAAATGTGATCTGTGACGAGGAGACCAGGGTCAGGGCCACGTGCAAAGGAGGGAAAACGCAGAGGGCACTGTGCCCTTCCTGTCTCTTAATTTTTTTTTGTGGCGCTGGGATTTGAACTCAGGGCCTCACATTTGCTAGGCAGGCGCTCTACCACTTGAGCCACTCCGCCAGCCCTTTTTTGTGATGATTTTTTCAAGATGGGGGGTCTCGTGAATGATTTGCCCAGGGCTGGCTTCGAACCAAGATCCTCCTGGTCTCTGCCCCCTGAGTAGCTGGGATTACAGGTGTGAGTCACTGGTGCTCAGCTTGTATTTTGTTTTTGAGACAAGGTCTCCCAAACTTTGCCCAGGCTGGCCTCATGCTTGACATCCTCCTGCCCCCACTTCCATGGAAGCTGGGATTATGGGTGGGCACAGAACCCCGTTTCTAAACCGTCTTGTTACCACACCAATCGACTTTGACCTTAAACATCAAACCTAGTCCCGTTACCATGAGCAGAGCTGCAGAGCCGTCATGTCTACCTGTGCCCCTTGAGTGGGCATCATAGTCACCTCTGGCCAGGCGCTGGTGGCTCACGCCTATAATCCTAGCTACTCAGGAGGCAGAGACCAGGAGGGTCAACGTTTGAAGATGGCCGTGAGCAAATAATATGCGAGACCCTATCTCGAAAAAGCCATCACAAAATAAGGCCTGGGAGAGTGGCTCAGGTGGTAGAGCGCCTGCCTGGCAAGTGTGAGGCCCTGAGTTCAAACCCCAGTACCTCCAAAAGAACACAAAACAAAGAAAACTGCTAAGAGATACACCGAGTTCATCATTCCACAGAATACGGTCCTGGAGCGATCTATGATAACGTGAGGCAGGGGCCCCATGAGGAGTAACTCCCCCTGCGAATTTGTCACCTAAGTCAGTCTTCTAAAGTCACTCACTGGGATGGCTGATGACAGAAGAGCGAGCAGATGCGGAATAGCACCTCCTGAGATAACAAGGTCTCTGAATTCTGGGCCATCACCTACAAAGAGATCAAAACGTGACCAAAGTGACAAGAATTTCGCCATGGTGACCGACTTCAAAGTTTATACAAAGGATGAGCGACTGAAAACTCATTTTGGGGGGGGGTTGGCAAATAGGCCGGCCGTGTGCTAGAGCCTTGGTGTCCCAGGTGTCTGTTGGGTGGACATTCCTGATGTGCCAGGCAGGTGCCAGTGCAGCCACGCTGAACGCTGAGGCTTTGCACACAGAACAGAGAAGGCCAGCTTGGGTGGTCACAGCATGGGTCTCGGGAAGACGGAGGCTGGTGCAGACCGAGCCGTCTTTGCCACCAAGCAGTAACTTCTAAAAGCTATTCAAGGACTGGTGGAGTGGATCCAGTGGTAGAGCTTCTGCCTAGCAAGTGTGAGGCCCTGGGTTCAAATCCCAGTACCACCAGAAAAAAATTTAAAAAGCTAAATGAAATTCAGAAGCAAGTCTGGGTTCCATTGAGGCTATCCAATAGCCATCTGTCACCCTGACTTTTGGGGGGTGGGATCACAGGCTGTGCCACCATGCCCAGCTTACTGGTTGAGATGGAGTCTTCCTAACTTTTTCGCACAGGCTGGCCTTGGACCACAATCCTCCTATCTCTGCCTCCTGTGTAGCTGGGGTGGGATTACAGGCATGAGACACCATGCCTGGCCTCTCTACTTTTGGTCCTGGACATCTCTATTTGTATCTTCAGTCACGGAGGCAAGGCGTAAGGTCTTGCCTGTTTCTTACTGAACCATTTTTCAAGTGGTTATTTTATATTCTGTTTGCTAATTCCTTATCTAAAGTCCTTGGACAGCTGATCACTCGTGTTTGTACTGACCCAGTTATGGTGGGCTGCTGCCCCTCGGCACTTGAAATTGCAAAAATTTGACCAATCTTAATTTGTCAAAATCCTTAGGGACCTAATTGCTCCGGGCAGTGGGGGGGGGGGTGGCTTCCCAGAGAGCATCCGAGTTTATCTCAGCCAGGAATCCAGGGACTTCCAATCCTGCAAGGTTAAATTCCGCGGCCACACAGGAGAACAGCATCAAGCCCCAAATCCACACAGGGAGTTTAAAATTACGTGTTATTTGTGCTGGGGTTTTTTTTTTTTTTTTTTTTGGTGTGGTACTGGGGTTTGAACTCAGGACCTTGCACTTGCTGGGCAGAAGCTCTACCACTTGAGCCACTCCTCCAGCCCTTTTGGCTTTAGTTTATTTTGCTTGATATCTCTTATCCTTTTTCCTAGGGCCAGCTTTAGAGGGAGATCCTCCTACCTCTGCCTCCTGAGAAGCTGGGATTACAGGCGTGCACCACCACCACAAATTTGGTTTAATTTTTTTTTTCAGAACTGGGGTTTGAACCTAGGCCTTCATGCTTGCTAGGCAGGTGCTCTACCACTTGAGCCATGCCTCCTGCTTATTTTCTAAGCTACAGTCTCTATTTTTGCCCCATGTGGTCCCAATCCTATCACCACCTCCCAAGTAGCAGGGATTACAGGTGCCACCCACCATGCCTGGCCAATTTTTAAGTTTTTACTTAGTTTTTTTGCAGCCTTTGGAATTGAAGCCAGAGCCATACGCTTGCTAGCCAAGCCCTCTGCCACTTCAGCCACACTCCCAGCCCAGGATGGCAACTTGAGGGAAGACTTTTTACCCGAAGCTAAGGAGACATTTCTTGAATGGTCCCTCAGTAACTTTCACTGGAGGCAGAGTCCTCTTGGGGTCCTGGTGTACAAAGATTAGTCAAAAACACTTGGTCTTTTGTTCCTGCAGCCATAAGACCTGAGGCTGTGAGGGCCTGGCATTGACAGGTGTCCCTAGACAGCTGTCACTCGATGATACCCTGTGTCATCTAGTTTCAGCTTCCAGTTTTGCGCTCTGAACTTGGCTGTGACTTTCAAGATAGCTGGTCATACCTTTCCCAGCGTTTCTGGGTTTTAAACCGGGATGGATGGCAGGCCATGGCGAGTGTCATCCTAACCAAAGAGCCCGGTGCTCGGCACACGCCCGCCCACTGTGGCCTCAGCCGGCAAGGGGACAGGCTCACCGGCTATGTTGCCCAGCGCCCACACGGCCTGCTCGCACACGGTGGCATGGGGGGAGGACAGCAACTCGGTCAAGGGTGGGATGGCGCCTCCTTCCACCACAGCCCGAGTCTGCTCTGACGTCCCGGAGGCGATGTTGGTCAAAGCCCAGGCCGCCTCGAACTGCAGGTGGGGGGGGACGGGGGGCTTCAGCAATTCCACCAGCCTCGGGATGAGCCCCGCTTCCACCATCACTTTTAGGGGGGGGTTCCTTTCCTGCGACAGCATTTTCCTAGGTAGCGAAACACAGAGGAAAGAAGGAAAAAGTTACACGAGACAGGTGTTCAGAACCTCCTTTAAGGAGGTTGTTGGCTTTTTGGCAGTACTGGGATTTGAACTCAGGGCCTCGCGCTTGCTAGGCAGACACTCTACCATTTGAGCCACTCCACCAGTCCTTTTTAGGGATGGGTCTTTTTGAGATAGGGTCTCATGACCTATTTGCCTGGGCTGGCCTCAAATTGAGATCCTCCTGAGCTCTGCCCCCTGAGGAGCCGGGATTATAGGTGTGAGCCACCATGCCCACCTGTTCTTGGCATAAGTAACTATCAGATTTTTTTTATTTTGCAGGGCTGGGTATGGAACCCAGGGCCTGGTGCCAGGCAAGTGCTCTACCACTGAGCTACACCCCCTACGCCTCTCAGGAGACAAACAGCTGGGCAGGGCTGCTTCATACCCGGCTGTTCAGCCTGCACCACTTTGCAGATAAAGCCCAGTCATATTGTGTCCTTCAGGTATCTATGAGCTACGAGCCCTGTAGAGGTCAATGCAAATTAAGCCATTTATCTCTGACAAGCAACTGCATCTTTCCCGGATTGCCTTCAAGGACAACGTAGCACAGCAAACTCGTCTGGCTTTGGGATTCACCAGCTTTTTTATGGGCATTATGCCAATGGCAAGGTGCCAAACAGACAACCGGAGCTCTGGTTATAAACCTCAGATAGGAATTGGGGTGGTGATACCTGGCTGCCTGCGTGGCCAGGAAACAGAGAGTTGGATCCAAGCTGTTCACGCCTTTGATTATTTCATCCAGAGTGAGGCTGACCTGCAAGACGACACAGGGTCAGGTCAGAGTCTCAGCCGAAAGGAAGCAGGAGCCTGGCCCAGTAGCTCACACCTATAATCCCAGCTACTCAGAAGGCAGAGATCAGGAGGATCAAAGTTTGAGAGGCCGGCTCAGGCAAATAGTTCTCAAGACCCTATCTCAAATACTCATCACCAAAAAGGGCTGGAGACGTGGCTCAAGTGATAGAGCTCCTGCCTGGCAAGTGTGAGGCCCTGAGCTCAAACTCTAGTACTGCCAAAAAAAAATTTTAAGCAAGCAGGAATATCCACTAGTCTATGTGTGATCTGATTAAAACGAATGGCAGTAACTAGACACCCCATGGTGCACGTGCTACAGTTTATATCAGATAAAACAATGCCAAGTGAGGACCCCCAGAATTTCCCTCCTGTAAACAGTGAGGAAAATGAACAAATGCTCCCAAAGCAAGCACAAGAAAGGAAATAATAAAGACTAGAAGGTGTGGTGGCTCATGCCTATAATCCCAGCTACTCAGGATGCAGAGGTAGGAAGATGCCCAGTTTGAAGCCAGCCCAGGCAAAGTTAGGAAGACCCTGTGTCAAAAACAAAATATACATCTAGGTGCCAGTGGCTCACACCTACAATCCCACCTACTGGGGAGATCAGTAAGATCAAGTTCAAGGCTAGTCCAGGGAAAAAGTTAGCAAGACCCCATCTCAACAAAACACCCAAGCATGGTGTCAGACGCCTGTGGCATGCTGCCCCTTGAGCCACTCCACCAGCCCTTTTTTTATGTTGTGTTTTTTCGAGATAGGGTTTCTTGAACTGTTTCCCCGGGCTGGCTTTGAACCATGATCCTCCTGATCTCTGCCTCCTAGTAGCTGGGATTACAGGCGTGAGCCACCACTCCTGATTTGTCTGTATGTTTCATCTGCTGATATATTTGGTTTTCCAGGATTTTGTTGTGAAATTTTCAGTCTGTAGTGTTAAGGAGCACTGGCGTGTGATTTTTATCTCCGAGTGCCTTTGGCTGGTTTGGCATTCCTGGTTTGGAAATGGTGGTCTCCAGTGTGGCAGCGGTGTGGGAGAACCTCCGAGACGAGAGACCTGGTGGCAGGTCATCAGAACATGAGGGACTGCCCTTGGAAGGGATTAATGCAGCTCTTGCAGGCTCCTGCTTACTTCTGTCAAGAGCACGTTGGTGCCAGGCAGGTGGCGCACGCCTGTAATCCTAGCTACTCCCCGATACTGCAGAAAAAGTAAAAAAACCCAACTGGTTTGGAAATGTGGTCTCCAGTGTGCGCAGCGTGTGGGAGAAACCTCCGAGACGAGGACCTGGTGGCAGGTCATCAGAACAGAGGGAACTGCCTTGGAAGGGATTAATGCAGCTCTTGCAGGCTCCTGCTTACTTCTGTCAAGAGCAAGTTGGTGCCAGGCAGGTGGCGCACGCCTGTAATCCTAGCTACTCCCCGATACTGCAGAAAAAGTAAAAAAACCCAAAGGGCTGGACGCCTGGCTCTGGTGGTAGAGTGTAAGGCCCAAGTTCAAATCCCAGCATCTGGAAGGAAGAGGGAGGCAGGGGGAGAGAGAGAGAAGGGGGGAGGGGAGGGAGGGAGAGAGAGAGGAAGCGGGGGGGGGGGAGAAAAGAAGGGTGGGACAGTATCTTGGCCACCGTTGCCAGGTAACCCAGGAATGCAAGGATGGCTCGACACGTGAAAAGCCACATGACCCCTGTGTCGGGATGAAGAGGGGAGCCCACAGTTCACCTCGATAAACGAAAGAGAAGAATTTGACAAAACGCAACTCTGTTCCATGAGAAAAACATCCAACAAACTAGATGAACTTCAGCCTCGTCAATCCGAAAGGCATTTACAAAAGTCCCACAACTTGCCTTTCACCAAAGAGTGCAAAACCGAAAGCCATCCCCAGAAAAACCGAGAAGGAGGCAGGTCTGCTCTTGCCACTTCCGTTCAACACGGTGTTATTCAGGGAGCAAAAGGAAGAGATGGGCTGAGGATGTGGGTCACGTGGTGGAGTTCAACCCCTTGTACCGTAGAAAACACCCGCAAGAACAAAAACCTGAAACCTGGCCCAGCAGTGGTCACCTATAGTCCCAGCACTTGGGAAGCTGAGGCGGGGCACCAGCGCATTTCACATTCCTGGATTTTGAGTGGAAACTGAGAATCTGAGGCAAGAGCCCATCTCATCCGGGGTCCCTGGGACACAAAAAGTAGCACACTGACTTCCTCTGAGACAACCTGCTGTCCTCTGAGGATATATCTTGACTTCTTTTTCTTGGAGGGACTGGGGTTTGAACTCAGGGCTTCACACTCACAAAGCAGGCGCTCTACCACTTGAGCCACACCTCCAGGCCACTTTGCTCTGGCTGTTTTGGAGACGGGGTCTCGAGAACTATTTGCCTAGCTGGCCTTGAACCACAATCCTCCTGATCTTATCCTCCCGAGTAGCTGGGATTACAGGCGTGAGCTACTGGTGCCTGGCCTGACTTCTCAATAAATTTTGCTATTACTTTAAAAAAAAAACGGTGCAAGATAGCCTCATATCATGTGCCAGCTCAGCCGAACACTGTCCTCACATTTACCAAAGTGAGGTCAGAGCTCCAAATGGATCAAAGGTCCACACATAACAACTAAAACTGTAAAATTCTTAGACACACAAGCATCAATTTTTGTGACCCGAGATTACACAGGAGATCTGCTGCTCAGTATGTAGGAAGCAGTCCCACAACACGATTTTAAAAACAAAGATTATTTGACCCAAAAAAAATGGGTGTAGGAATTAAAGAGACATTTCTCCAAAGATCTACACACACCCGACGAGGACAGAAAACAAAACCACACGGAAACCCAGCCAAGTGCCCACCTCCCGCCACTTAGAGGGCTGAAAACGGCCAGTGAGACCCCAAATGCACAGCTTTCCAGCCACTTGGGGAGCAACTTAGCGTCTGAGCTCCCTATGGTGCTGTCAAAGTCACCAAAGTGTAGTTGTGGTGACACGGTCTCCCATTCCGCTCAGCAGTTCACGACCTGTCACCCTGGGCCAACATCCAAGTGTCAGAAGGGCTGGCTCTCTCACAAGGTCACTGGGGCGGTGACCTTGACCTCTTCCCTCTTCCTTTCAACACAGCCCGTCAGAGTCTGAGCGATCCACTTCAGAGGGTGCATCCCGCACCCCACGCACCCTGGTGGCAGGGACCTCTGAAGCCACATCGGAGGACAGGGGACCGATGTTCCTTCTCTTTAAACTCTGCTCGTCCTTCTTGGCCTTCCGGAGCTCCAGGCTGGCCGCCACCCTCTGCTGCCGCCTCACCTGAGAGAGGAAAGGAAACCAGGGGGCGTTTAGAGCCAGGTGACCGGGAGCCCACAGGTCACCCCGGATTTCAAAGCGTCCGATTCCGTGTTTACATAGGCAACAGGCAGGAAAAAGGGGATCCTGCAGCTCTGCTTCCCTCTCTGCTTCCTCCCGCCGTGTCACCTCTAAGAAATGGTCCAAACTTCCCTCCAAAGGAAAGGCTCGAAAAGGGCACTGGTGGCTCACGCCTGTAATCCCAGCTACTCAGGAAGCAGATCAGGAGGATCGAGGTTCAGGGCGGGCCCTGGCAAATAGTTCTTGGGACCCTATCTAGAAAAAAACCCATCACAAAAGAGAGCCGCAGAGTGGCTCAAGTGGTATAGCTCCTGCCTAGCAAGTGTGAGGCCCTGAGTTCAAACCCCAATGCCACCAAAAAAAAAAACCACAAAGGAAAGGTTCAGGTGCTTGTTGAGATTTGTATTTTTTTGTTTTTTACAGTACTGGGATTTGAACTCAGGGCCCACCACTAGGCAGGCGCTCCACCACTTGAGTCACTCACCCCAGTTCATTTTGCTGTGGTTATTTTGGAGATGGGGTCTTGAGAACTATTTGCCCAGGCTTGCCCCAAACCTCAATCCTCCTGATCTCAGACTCACAAATAGCTGGGATTACAGGCGTGAGCCGCTGGCACACAGCTTTTTTTTTTTTTTTTGGTGGTACTGGGTTTTGAACTTAGGGCCTACAACTTGAGCTACTCCACCAGCCCTTCTTTGTGACGGATATTTTTCTGAAACAGGGTTTCAGGAACTATTTGCCTGGGCTGGCTTTGAACCATGATCCTCCTGATCTCTGCCTCCCAAGTAGCTGGAATTACAGATGTGAGCCATTGGCGCCGGTCTATTTTTTTTTTTTTTTTGACGGCACTGGGGTTTGACCTCAGGGCCTCTGGCTTGCTAGGCAGGCGCTCCCTCACTTGAGCCACTCCACCAGCCCTGTATGGCACAGCCACTTCTTGGGCTCCCGACAGCAGCCAAGAGGTGGGACTGGGGACTTCTGGGAACTGTCTGTGACAGTCCCGGGAGTTTTACTTTGACAACTGAGGAAGACTTAAAAAGAACACTGTGGGGAGGGGGTGATACTGGGGTTCACACAGGGCAAGGCCGGCCCTCTTTGCTTTAGTTATTTTTCAGACAGGGTTGTAGTTCAGATAGACTCTCATGCTTTTGCCCAGGTTGGCCTTGGACCAGGATCCTCCAACCTTCACTTCCTGAGTAGCTGGGATTACAGCCGTGTGGCACCATGCCCAGTTTATGCCTGTTTTTTTTTGTTTTTTGTTTTTGTTTTTGTTTGGTGCTACTGGGGTTTGAACTTGGACTCATGCTTGCTAGGCGGGCTCTTTACCACTTGAGCCACTCCACCAGTCCTGGTTTTTGATGTGTTTCAACCACTTCTTTTTTTTTCCCTACACTGGTCTTTGATAAACAGCACCTCATACTCACAGATGCATCTTTGCCCCAGTACTTAAATTTTCTCAGCCTCTCTTCGGGAGCGTCTAAGGCAGGCATATTGACTCCAGGAAGAAAATCACCTGTAGGTAGGACAGTTACAAAGGGATTTTCAGTGTTCACGGCATGGATTCCATGTTAAAGCCATCCAGTTGAGGCCAGTTAGGGCAAAAAGTTTGTAAGACCCCATCTCAATGAAAAACCCAGGCATAGTGACACATATCTGCTGTCCCAGCTATGGGAGGCATAAATATGAGGTCGAGGCCCAGACTGGCCCAGACGCAAACAAGAGAACTTGTTCAGAAAATAACTGAAGCAGAAAGGCCTGGGGAGTGACTCAAGCAGTAGAGCACCTGCCTAGCAAGCTCAGGGCTCTGAGTTCAAACCCCAGTGCTGCCCCTCCCAGAAGAAGAATGAAGAAACCGGATGGAACTGGAGATCACACTGAGCAAAATAAACCAGACTCAGAAAGACAAATGCCATGTTTTCCCTCACATGCAAAATCTAGATGTAAAAAAAAATGAATATAAAATGACAATTTAGGGGACACGAGTGGGAGGTGGGAAGAGAGGGGAAGTGGGTAAAGAATGACATACATATGTGCATTTGTAAAAAGGGTGTAATGAAAGCCAGCAAAAATTCTTGTGAGAAAGTTCTAAAAAGCAGGGCACTGGTGCCTCGCGCCTGTAATCCCAGCTACTCAGGAGGCAGAGATCAGGAGGATCATGGTTCAAAGCCAGCCTGGGGAAATAGTTCACCAGACCCTATCTCCAAAATAACCACAGCAAAATGGACTGGAGGTGTGGGTCAAGGGGTAGAGCACCTGCTTTGCAAGTGGGAAGCCTTGAGTTCAAAACCCCAGTACTGAAAAAAAATTACATTAATCCCTTCCAAAGGTGACACCCCAATGTCCTAACCAGCTTCCACTAGGTCCCACCTCTTAAAGCCATAGCTCCTCAAAAGTGACACTGAGGACTCGAGCTCTGAACACAGGAACCTGAGGCACAAACTCACACGAACTTGAATCTTGACGCGATTCCTCAGTTCCTCCCCAGTGCATAGCCCGTGACAGGTCCTCAAAGGCTTGTTGGAGGAGGAAGACCAGTGATAAG